CCTTTTGTATGTTATATGTATAATCTAGGAATCATGATCGGCTCTTACAAGCTCTACTCGTCATTAGGGTGACTCAGCTGCTGTAGCAACCAATATAGAAAAATCCATTTTGAGGAGCTGATCTTCAAGATAATAGAAATGACTGTGCTGAAATGGACTGTGACTTAGACATGCAGCCTGAACACACCCTACAAACCATGTCTCCCCTCTGCACCTCCTAGACCCACTGCTTTTTAGAAGCATGCTCCTTGCCTCTTGCCTCCATTCACCATTACCTGGAATAAGAAGCTGGCCAAAAGATGGTAACTACAGGATGACATGAACCACAGCTTGAACTCTGAGTGGCCACTAACCAGTGATATTTACAAAAAAATGGCTCAGCTACAGACCAGCTTTGAAGGCAACAGTCCCAGCAGTATAAACTTCTCACAGAAGTTTATACAGAAAAGATGAAGAGTGAAACTTTTTCCACACAAGCATACAGACACATTATTAACATTTTTATGTAATGAAAACACAACCTTCACAACTTTACAATTATGATTAAAATTTTAAAATTTGTCCTGCTGCATGAAAAAGGACCATTTTTAAAGAATTTGTAAAACTGGCATCAGATTTTTTAACAAGATAGAAAGAACTGAGCCAAAGATGATATCACAAAGTCCCTTATGCTTAAGGGAAAATGTTAAATAAATTAGCAGCTGCTGGAATAAAGAAGCAACAATATGATGTAGAAGTTCCTTAAAAAATAACAAACTTTTCCTGTTCTTCTGAAAGTGGTTATATTATACCACAAGAAAACTGCAACATATTCTCATCTCTTTAATGTTACAAAAGCTTTATTAGCATATGCTTCAGAAATTATAATCAAAGAGTAGTAGTCACTAGCCAGAACTTTGAAGAGTTTATAAACATACATGTACAGACTATGCCTTAGAGGGTTAATGTACTATTTTGAACTTAAGTACTGCAATAGGACTTAGCTTTGAAACAGAATGTTCACACCCTCTGTAATAAATTCCTTTAACATACTTCATATTTCTTCCCATGTGAATGAGTGTCCTTGGAATAATTACCTGCTAGATAAAACTTGAAGATGAAATCTAATCTAGACTTATTTAAGGGAGGTGGAGACTGATCTTATAATCTAAGACAGTTGTTGATTAATGAGCTGCTCATGATTGCTGAAGGCCTGTTCAAACTGCAGAGGCAAATGATACTACAGGACTTGGAAGAATGTGCTATCTGGACGCCACACCTTTGTTGAAACTTGGAACTCTCTTCAACTTCTGCTACATCTACTCCAGTCTTGAACTACCAGATGTGCATGACCAGATGTACAGTAACATACACGTAACTCCTTGCTACTTAACTGCTGCTTCTGTGGCAAAATTTCTGTGTTACAAGAACTTCCACATTTTAAGTATGGCCACTTGCAGCAGTCATGGTACATGCTGTGTGGTGTTCAAGTATTTTGCTAGTAGTACTCTTGCACAAACTAATTCAAAATTTCCTGGAGTACTATCACATCCCAAGGAGGTTTGGTCTCATCTGACAGTCTGAAGAATTATATTCATAAGTATACACATGCATATGCACATACACATAGGTATAAATGCATATGACATGTCAGTATACACACACATAGTTTATAATGCATAATTAACAACTTGCATAAACACAATACATTCTGCATAACTAAGGAAACTTCTGTTCAGCTCTTTTCCAAGGTTGAAACTGAACATTGCTAAAATTCATAATAAAAAAAGCAAGGTACCTAATCTTTGGTGACAACAGGATTATTTCTGATTACACTTTTGGAAAATTTTTTAAAACTTTCTCAACTTTGCTTATAAAATATCCATGTTCTTAAAGTGAAAAAACCTCATATAAATTCTTAAAAGCGTTCCCTGCACCCTAGTGTCCAGACTAAGAGAAAACAAAAGCCAACAGACAAAAAAGGCACAGACAGAAAAACTAGTCTTTGTAATCCCTCAAAACAGCCCTTTTTCTCATTTTTGGAGATAGCTATCTTTCTAAAAGTGTGCAGAAAAAGTACGTCTTAAACCAACCACATCTTCATGATCACTATAACACTTCGAGTACACTCAGTGTATCAGCCTCACTAGAAAGTGAAGTCCTATGGCTTTTCAGCAATGTCATTAAGTGTAAGAACAAGGCTAAAATTGATTGAGGAAAATATAACACAGCTGCAAATGACACATCCTGATGTTCACTATTCGAAAGGCAGCTGGTCAAAAGCAGTTCTGGAAAATCATTGACATGAGCCTCGGAGTATGACAATGTGTAACTGCATGTAGAGTGACAGAATTCCAAGAATTTGACACAAATGACTCTGCAAACCTCATAAATATGTTGCACAGAACATCCTCCAAGTCCTCTTAACTGTATCACTACACAACCTTACGATTTACATAAAACACCATGTTTCCTCATAGCAGGTGACACAATCAAGAGCACCAAACTGACTTAAACCATTCAGACAATTCTGAAAACTTAATCCAGAAATTTAGTAAAACTATTAAGAATGTGAGTTATTTCAATAACATTGAAGAGGAAACACAAATGCTTACATAGATTAAAGGCTAAAATGATGTGTTGAATAAAGTCACACTCCATTAAACTGAGAATTTCTGGGCAATTTAGTACATTGAACTTGCACTTAAATCGTTGAGAGGTAATCAGCTGAAGGTAATGTACCTACCTGTGTTACAGCTTTTCAATATCCAACTCAGTAGAGCAGTGCAAAAGAACTCACTATCCGCTTGAGCTCAGCAGGGCCTGAAGAAAAAGCTGCTTATGCCTTAGGACCAAGAGAGAAACTTTCTAGAAACAGAGACCAGGGCTTACTCACCCATGAAGCATTGTGGAGAAAAGTATGGAACTAAGAGCTGAGCCTCAGCAGCTGAAGGAGGATTTGCCAGACCCCAACTTTTCGAAGCCTTTATAAGAGCATATCCATTACGAATCACCCTCTTGTGGAAACAGAATTCTAATATTGGTATTAACCACAACCACTGAGCCATCATAACACATCACTTAATAACAGAGACAGTAAGTGACTAACACATTGACAACACAATATTGTTTAGAACTATTTCAACATCATTACAAAGTACCTGTAAAAAACACTCTACTGCTACTCTGTGATAATATTTTATATTAATAATTAATAATAATAATTTTATAATATTTACTTCAAAGAAGGGACTCAAATTGCTATGACACAACAGTATTTTCTTCTGAGAAAATGAACAGGGAGACCACTGTGACAGCAAAATCATTTTCCAAGATGAAAACTACTAGTTAAAGGCACGAATCTACACAGCCTTATGCCACAGTATTTGAACTTATTAGATTAAAAAAAACCACAACATTTGCAGAAGCCACTTAATCAGCACTTGTTAGAAAAACAGTGGCAGCTCAATAACCAGACTCTATATCAATCCATTACGAATCACCCTCTTGTGGAAACAGAATTCTAATATTGGTATTAACCACAACCACTGAGCCATCATAACACATCACTTAATAACAGAGACAGTAAGTGACTAACACATTGACAACACAATATTGTTTAGAACTATTTCAACATCATTACAAAGTACCTGTAAAAAACACTCTACTGCTACTCTGTGATAATATTTTATATTAATAATTAATAATAATAATTTTATAATATTTACTTCAAAGAAGGGACTCAAATTGCTATGACACAACAGTATTTTCTTCTGAGAAAATGAACAGGGAGACCACTGTGACAGCAAAATCATTTTCCAAGATGAAAACTACTAGTTAAAGGCACGAATCTACACAGCCTTATGCCACAGTATTTGAACTTATTAGATTAAAAAAAACCACAACATTTGCAGAAGCCACTTAATCAGCACTTGTTAGAAAAACAGTGGCAGCTCAATAACCAGACTCTATATCAAAGTAAAGAAACAGAAACCTGTCAGAATAGACTTAGTATTTATTTACTTATTAACATAATTATTTCCTACTCAGTAAAAATAAAAACAACATGTTAGCATTTCAAAAACATGAGAAAATGACCCTCTAGGCTTTACTGGCTATCAAAACATGCACCGGTACTTGATTTGCAAATTATTGTGAATGAAGTGCTCAACTCAGCAAGTTTACCAGTCAACGAAGTGTGTGCCCTACCAGTTATAATCAATTTACATGTAATGATACGTCTAAATATGAATTTAAATGAGTTCTTGTCATTTCATGTTGATCAGCTGCTTTATGATCACAGATATGGACAGTGACCATAGTTAATGTTGCAGAAAAAGCAGAGTATGCAGAAATTTTGTGAGCTAGTGCCAATCAAACATGAAGAAATTTGTTTTCATTTAAAAACACAGTTTCTGACTGCTAAGCCATGCTTATTTTTCAGACAAGTTAACAAAAATACTTTCTAAGAAGTTACTTCTGGTTCATATGCCATATCCACAGCAAATTCACAGTATGACCCTCAGTGGTTTTCTTACCTTGTAACCTACTGGATTTCTCTCTATGTATGAAAAGAACACTGAGGCTGACACAGAATAAAGAACATTTCAATAGCATCCCTGTTGTATAAAATACAGATGATCAGGAACTTCAGAAGGAATATTCTGGAGCTTAAGAGAATTCTAGTTTCTTTAATAGTGCATTAGTTGCAACCCTGCATCACATTCTTTAATACAATAATCAAAAATTTTAAGTAACTCAGGCACATGAAATAAAGTTCCATTACAGCAGACAGTGCTTATCTGATGGCATGTTAGAAAAATGAAATTTAAGGCCAGGTTTAACATACAAGAATGAACAATTAAAGGCTAGTCTCAAAAGCGTCTTCATTTAGTACAATTAAATGAATATAACAGCAATAAATAAATCATAAGGATGCTATTATTTGCCAATTTCATTTTACTTAAAATAGCATAAATTACACAATTAAAGCTTCACATTTTCCAGACAATAATCTTTTAATTTCCCTTAGCTTTACTAATAATGTACATATTAAGGTAGAATACTCAAATTCAATTTTTAGTGATATGCAGAATAATTTAAATGCATATTGGTAGACTTTCTTATTTTTGGTGTTCAGTAGTTGTTGGGTTTTTTAATAAAACGATACAGTCGATTTATACTTAACATCACATATAGGTTTTCTCTATATAAAGAATTTACAGAGCTTTTTCAATTGTGGAATGGTATGTTTCATACATCTGAAATTTAAAAAAAATGCTGCATGAACCTGTGACCTTGCCAATGCACAAATAAACCTTCAGAAATTGTAATGAGCATGAGTTGACACACATCTCTATCTGGGCCCAGTACATGTATGGACACAATAAAAATGTTATAACATCAGCATGATTTGCTTTTCATTTGGTGGCTATGATATTCCAAGTGAGGATGCAAAGTGCACTTTAATGGTCCTCACAGCAGTACTTTTATCCCACTGTATTTTAAAGGCATCAGTTTCTTCTATTCTCCCTTGTAGCGAGGAGGTCTCTTCTCCTTAAACGCAAGAAGACCTTCAATTCTATCTTTTGTTGGAATAGTCTGCAATAAGCAGAGTAACAATTCCTTATTGACACCAAAACCAATACCAAGTAAAATATTTTCATACAAATCCTAGTTCTTCAATGCATCCAATATGCAACATACAATACAACAGAAAAAGGAAAACTAAAACGTCTAGTCAGATAGGGGAAAGCACCAGACACTTCAAAGGCACAATGTAAGGCTGAGAAGCAATTTGAGAGAAGAAGGAGTAACTTTTTTCCAAACATATGACTGTAATAAACTCTTTAGGGCTTGTTTTTGAGTTTTTATGAGGGTTTTTTGGTAAATTATTAATTTGATCACTCTACATTTTAAATAACCATCTAATGCTGATGCTTCTATTTCCATGACCAAAAACTTGTCTTGAAGTCCAAGCACATACAAACTTGAATACATCATTAATTACCATGTTAGACTGGCAAAGAATTTTGTCTTGTTTTCCTGTTGGTTAGCACACATGCCATCAGTGGTGTGTGGTAGAGGAGTGTCCTTCATGCTGTTTCATGCAAAACCAAAACAAAGAAAATGCAAGGCAGTTCTTGGACTAGATGCATGGCAGTGTATTGCTGGGTAGGGATATGCCTGGTAGTGCTTCACTACCTTAATCCTAGCAGTCATGGCAGGGAGATGTTTTGTCCTATACTACACCTCCTTCCTTAAATACCTAACACAAACAATGAAAGTCTAAATAAAACTCCAAAATATTTGTAGGAGAAATCATAGAACAATTTCTCATTGAATTTCTGTATGTTTCAAGACATGCACCAAAAAAGTCTGTTTCCTGGATTTTTCCATATAATCCTGAGCATAACAAGCTACATACCTGAGCATAACAAGCTTCTTCAATTGCTAAACCTGTTACTAGGTCGACCTGAGGAAAAGAATACAAAGTTTTATAAAAGCATAATTTTGTATATTTATTATATATTACTTCCTAACAGCTAACTTAAATACTATGTTTCTATATGGCATATATAAAACACTTCTGCAAAGTTCTTCTGTACTATTCTAACATAGAAATGCTACACTATCCTGTGGTGAGACTGGCTAATATATCTGTAACAGTCTTTTTATTTGGTGAAACAATTAGTATGTAATACATTGTCAAAAAACGTATGTTCTTCACTACAAGTCATCTGGACTAAAAAACCAGAGCTATTTGTACATTTGTAATAATTTAATTTACTACTGGGGAAATATTTTAATGTACTTTGTGATTGTTTATATTAAAAATTTCAGAACAATAAAAAATTGTTCTTAAACAAGTTATCTTCAAAATGTTATGTAAGAATATCATGCCATGCAACAAAACAAACATAATTTCACAATTAAAGGGATTTAAATTTTTTTCAAAAGAGATGAAGGGCCATCCTGCATCATCACCTAGTTTTAATAACTTTTTTTTTCTTTATGAGCTGGTCTGAACAGCTTGAAAAGGCTGAAATTTCCCGTAACTATTTCTCCAACTGCTTTAAGCATCAGCTGCTGCAGAACCTACCACTTCTCCACGTGGCCACTGAAAGCACTGTGGCTGTCCACCACAAGAAATTTGTCTAGGGGAGATAAAACTATAGGATAGATTACCAAAGGAAGCTTGAAATCTCTGCCATGGAAGGTATGCAACAACAGCCTCCATGAACACTTGGCTTGATTGGTTTTGATACAGCAGATCTTGTCTTGGAGCCTCATGACTGAACTAGATGGTAATTCAGAGTCCTTCTAATCCTATTGTCTCTAATTCTATAAACATCCTAACTTTAACGAAGTACAGTCCACTGTCTTTGCTAGGTACACAATTTAGCTTGTACCATTCTGGACCTTGGGTAGCACCGAAATAAATCTTGAATTCCATAATTACTTGCTGTAGAAACTTAACAAGCTTACTGCTTGTGCAACAGCAGCTGAGTTTTGTTCTCAGGCCTAAATGAACTAAATTGTAACCCTGATTGCTTCTGAGACTTTAAGAAAACATGGACCATTTTTAATTTTGCCTTTGTGGATTCAGATGTTGCATGTGGTGTGATCCCCTTTCGCTTGTCCAAAATTGAGCTATAAGGTGTCCTAGTGCAGACATTATGCATGTGCTTAACTTTAAACATGAATAGTACTGCCAAGTTCAGTGAGATGATTCAGAAGCCTAATGGCACGTCCAGACATGTTCAGAGCTGGATTTTAACAGGCTTTAGAGCTAGGTCAATGGTGTTCCAGTAGAAGTGGCAATCTGAATAAAATTTAAAATCAGACTCCATATACAATTTTCACACTAACCTCTTATCAAACTATTAAAACCAAAATGACATGCCTTTTGGCTTTTTTACTAAAGTCTGAGAGCATCGACAGACTTGACAGAGCAAGATTTTGAGGTTTGTTTCTGCCTAGCATTTGAAATACAAACTTGCTCATAGCAGTTTATGTTTACTTCCTAGTATTAATAATCAGCAGAGTACTTTACAACTAGACAGACATGGGGTTACTAAGCCCCCTCAAGGAAATCACCATCCTGTCTATTCTTGGAAGTCTGAGACATAAAATAGTTGCAATTTATGTCCTAAAATGTTTTGACCAAGTAGATTCTGAAAGACTATAGACTGAGAAACTAAAAACAGTTCTAGAAAAAAAAAAATAAATCACCACAGCAGGCTGCGGCCCGGCTGGTTTCTGCTTACTTTTATGCCCAGATCCTTACCTCCATTCCCTGATTGATGGCCAGTTTTGCAACTCTCATTGCTACTGGTCCCTAAAATGAAAGAAAAAGCTTATTAACATATCATCAACATCAAGAAGACTATGCAGTGAATAGTCTGCACATCCATGTTCTTTGACTGGGACCTTCCAGACATTGGACTTCTATTAGATTTAAATAGGTAAATAGGTCAAATAGGTCAAATAACTTGAATTACATCACTAGCAGACATTTGTTTCAAAACTGTTTGTTTCAATATTGAGAAAAAATGAAAGCATACTGTTTTCAAAAGTACCTATTTAAAGCAATGTGTTTGGTTAATGTTTCAAAGGTGCTGAGTATGTCCACTTTGTCAAGCTTGCTCAAACAAGAAAATAAGGCTCAGAATGGCCATTATAGGCCTTATGAGCAAGGGCAATTTTATGTCCCCATTATCAGAAAATGGAGAAACATGAAAATGTGATAATGACATAAAAGTAACTGATATCACTTCAACCCTAAAAAAACACTACTGCACAGCCTACACTGATTAAGAGATGACATTCTTCTGTGAGGAACTAAGGTCCACAGGGCGCAGAGGGTTTTCCACCCTCCTCTTCCAAAGTGCCAGAGGACAGTGAGACATCTTTGGGAATCATCTCAGTCCTGCGCCCATCCATCAGCACCAGGTTCTGAACGTTCAGACATTGCTTTAGAGGAGTGGCCTGCTGTTTTGGGAAAAGCAAAATGCTTTTGAGCTAGTTGCAACAAGAAGTTGTAACTATAAATCAACCTTCCAGAATCACTGTATGTTAACATTTTTACTATATTTTTAATGTTGGTCTTTCTGTGAGGGTATTCTAGACACAATTAATCAATGTTAAATGCCATACCTAACCTGTAAAATTTTACATATTCCATGAAAAATTTTAGCTGTTACACTTGTTACACTTCTGCCTCTTATGAATTTGCCACCTTGAACCGTTCACTTGAAAAGCACGTTTATGAAAGGCTCCAACTCACACTCCTACTCTGAACAAACAGCTTGCAGACCATAGCAACAGGGGAACAGTAGCAATCAGCTAACATATAGACTTCTGTAATGGTCATGTGTAAACTTCTTACTAAAATTTTCACATTCTAAAGCATGGGATATCTGCATTTCAATTCTTTTATGAAAGACAGAGATAGGATGTCGCTTAGAATAAATAACAAGAGTGTGACTCTTTCATCAAGCTTATCCACAAAGGAGAAAAAAACAAAATTTCCACTGGAAATTCGTTTTCTTTTAATACTGAAACTATACTTAGTTTTATGTTTTCAAAATAGGATTTACACTGACATATCCACTTTTATATGGACCGTTTTGCTTCTTTTCAGACATATTCAACAGCAACAGAATAACTGAACTGAATAATAAATTCAGATAATTGCTTTACACTATTTTATATTTAAAACTTGAAAGCTAAAATACACAACACAAACACAGGCAATATCATGATGATACAAGAATTGACAGAGTTTTTTTTCTTCATTATGAAATAATTACGAAATATCACCACTTAATACACAAGATAAAACTTATTATTTCTCTCCACACAACTAGAATGGCTTCTAATGCATAACATCATGACAATTTTTCTTAATACAGTTGGCTCTTTTTCAGTTTTAATGTTTGGTAAAATAAACCCCACAAACCAAACAAAACTAAAATAAAAATAATTCATTTTACCTGAGGTAAAAACTCTCTTGCCAGAGCTAATGCTCTTCGGTATGCAGCATCCCCTGATTCATTCTGTTCTACAACATGGCTAATCAATCCTATTGATTTTGCTTCCTCACCATTTACAATACGTGCAGAGAAGATAAGTTCTTTTGCCAAAGACACTCCAATGGTCCGAGGTAACCTCTGTGTCCCCCCTAAAGTTTGAAAAAAGAGAAAACACAAATATTTTTTTCCAGCCATTTACACCACAAATGTAGATGCTTTGTTCAGTTCAAATATTTTAATTCTTAATTCCATACATAATTACATGAACACACAGAAATTAAATTATCATACAAAGACATTCCTAAATGTCTTCCTCAGTTTTGAAACTACATCGAAAATGAAATCAGTTGCTCTGTTCCTTAGAAACACATGTAAATAACTGAAAAGAGGTAATACTACTGGAGATTCTATTCAATTACAGACAACTTATCTCATTTACATCAGCCAAAAAGAAAACTACTTGCCTACAATCAACATATCCAGACACTGCACTTCTTTTAAACAATCTGCCTATTTTAATGATACTAATCACTACAATATGAACACTTCTAAAGAATCACAGAATAGTCATGGTTGGAAACAACCTCTGAGATCACCAGGTCCAACTATCAACACAAAAAGAACAATAGAAGACAAAAAAACAACAACAACAAGCCAAAACTTCAGCCACTAGAGCATGCCTTGAAGAGCCACATGTACAAGTTTCTTGAACACCTCCAAGGATGGTGATTCAACCACCTCCCTGGGTAGGCTCTTCCAGTGCCTGACCACTCTTTCAGTATAGAAATACTTCCTAATATCTAATCTAAACCTCTCCTAACAACTCCTGGCAATTTCCTCTGGTCCTGTCATTATTTATTTGGGGGAAAAGGCCAACACCCATCTCCCCACAGCCTCCCTTCAGGCAGGGCAATGAGGTCTCTCTTCAGCCTCCTCTTCTCCAAAATATACAACCTCAGTTCCCTCAGCGATTCCTCATATGACTCCTTCTCCAGGCCCTTCACCAGCTTGGTAGCTCTTCTCTGGACATGCTCCAGCACCTCAATGTCCTTCTCATAGTGAGGGGCCCAGCCCTGACCACAGTACATTAGGTGCAGCCTCACCAGTGCTGAGAACTATACTCAGAAAGACATTAGTCCATGCTAAAATTTATATATTAGGGACAATAAAAATTTTATACATAAACTGAACTACAACTACCAGACAAGGCCTTTAAAAAGCCATCTTACTTCTATGTTATTCTTCAAATCTTAAAGACAGACTACAAAAACTAGGAAAGGACAGATGTGAATCTTCAGAGAAAGGCATCCAACTTTAGTTAGCTTTTTTATAATGTTAAAAACTTCTTTGGCAGATCAGCATGTTCAGGAGGTCAATAAGCAGCAACTACGTTAACATGTGAATACTGTTTAGTTAGACTAATGACAAACTTCAGACAACTGACAAAAAATGACAATGTAGGAATAATCATTATCAAAATTGCAGAAGTAGATTCAAACCACAGAAGCAGATATTTTTATGGATGAAAACAGTGGAAACAGTCTTTATTCAGGAGAAAGGATTTGAAAATATACAAGGTCTATCATTTTGACATAGACTTGAAACAAATACTCAATTTATATAGACAGTCTGTAAGTAAAAATTTCTTTCCAAATAGTTCTTTCTGCAAGAACATGCTAACATATTCTATAAATACATGTGAGAGGAATATTTATAGATGTTCAAGGGTAAATGGTACAACATTGGATGTGTGTTCCATTAATATAAAACAGATTAATTTCCATTAAATGATTAACTAACCCAGTATTTTATTAAAGCCATTCAGTTGTCTTCCTGATGTTTCCTGAAAATACTCTAAATACATCTCTGAGACTAATACACTGACTAGAAACACAGGAAGTGTTTTGTGCTTCAATGAGTCAGCTTTTAATTACTTTTTTTTTTAATGAATCACAATCTTCAATACTACTGTATTAATTTCCATAAAAACAGACCTGCATTGGAGCAAATTATGTAATTAAAAAAATGCAGAAGTTTTGGGGGATTTCTGCCTTATGCATTTCTAGAGTACTGCAAAATCGTGATCTATAACAAAACATGTATTTTCTGGGCTGAAACAGAAGGAATTTTTAAAACACTTAGACTCATAACAGTTACAATAAAATTTGTTCAAAACCAACATCAGTAAATACAAATAATGTGGTATTCTCTGTGGTCCTACCACACTGAGAGGAGTTTAGCAAGACTGTCCTAAGAGTCAAGGGCAACAGGCAACTGCAAGAGCAAATCCTGTTCAACAAATTCTGCTAAATCTGCAAATTTTACAGCTAAACCAGTGCCAGTGCTACGGGGAAAGATTTTCCAACACAATTTAGAGAAAGTCTGTAATCTAGGACATTTTTATGAAACAGGCAAGTGGGTTACAACACTAAAACACAACTCCTTGTGAACTATTATAAAATACTATAAACACTGAAGCCTAAGCTTTCCTATTAGCCTCACTGGTGGGATTCACAGAGAATGACTATGTTGCAGATGTCAACCTTTATATCATCATATGTCATAAGAATGTCAGCTGTATTTTCAAGAAGCTTGCTGCTTCTGATACTGAGCTGTTCCACTCCATCGCTACTAACAAACATTTACTGGCTTTTTGGTTTTAAATACCAAACATGTATTTTAACTTCTCAGGCAAAGAAGCTGTCGCAGTCTAATCAATGTCTATTCTTATACATATATTAAATGTGCATTAGAACATAGCAAATATGTACGCTGATTCTCTTTAAGAATAGTTTAGTCATAAATTATCTTTCACCATAGTAATGGAATCTAGAAAAATATGAAGTTTGGCTTCTAATTAAATAAAAACGTTAGTACAAATCATAAGACCTGAAACCATATGAGGCTGATTTACCAATTCTACACCTTCTGCTTCTTTCTTGCTTGCTATGCCTAGTATGTGTTCTACTTAATTATGTCCCTTTACTGTTTTATCTCTTCTATTACTGCTTTTACAAGGAACTGCTGAAAACAAAAATTAATTGAGTAACAGTATTTCATAACTTTGACCAAACAATGGATATGTTTAAGCATGAAATAGTGTTTATAGATGAAAAAAAATGTTCTTACCAGTGTCTTACACAATAATGATTAAAGAGTAAAAAAAGCAGACTGTAGTCTATGTTGTTTAGCTGTCTCCTACACTGCAAAGCCATTAAAAAGAGGAGAATATTCTTTGATTAATATTCATAGAACAGAAGCCAACAGTTCAGTGCATAAATAATATTTTTTTCAGTAGTAGGAATAAGATGCATACACAAACAAAAGCTGTAAGACCCAATTAATCAAATGCAAACAAAACACCAAAATACACCCAACACACCAAAATTACAGCCATTTATGAAGAAAAAACAGAGTACGCTGCAGATAGATGTTTTTTCTTTGTAATGCAGAGAGAACATAAAATGTCTGCCAATGACAATCAGAGCTAAAGGAAGTAACACCCAGTCTTCAAAGACATTACTTAACCAAGGCATTTAATCTAAACTTAAGAGTACAATTTGATGGAAGAAATGTTGATTTATTTTCACAAAGTTAATGACATATTATTTCAAGGACTAGTGATCTGCTATTGCTCACTGTGTTGAAATACAGAGGCAATGTAAATGTGTTTTTATCTGAGATAGTATATATTCAATGTTGTAATAATGGTAAACAGTAGTTTTAGATGATGCTCTAGTTCATGTGAAGAGACACAGTAAATACAAGACTGTTAAGCTCAGGTATAAAATTGTTAAACAGTATTTTTCTTCTTTAACAAATAGCTGATTTTGTATGAATATTTATTTACTGTCAGTAACTCATCAGTTACAAAATATGTACACAACTGGTTTGGATTAAGAGAATTACGTGATAAATTCCCAAGAGTCTATCCAACAAGATGAAGCAACTAGCTTACTGGAAATAGATTCATTATTTTGGCAGAGAATATCTACAGTCAGTAATTTCTCATAGTTGAACACTCTGTCAAAACATATTGGAAAAGTCTTGTTCTGAAAAAAAATCCAAACTTTAACTCAGTAATAATCCTGTTTATTAAGTTGAGTAAAGAGGAATCTTTCTATCCTATCCTTTTTATCATGAGCTTTGTTTGGTTCACCTTAGATTGATTTTCTTGACAAGTTTCTAGATCTCTTTTTTCAAATACTGCTGTGAATTTCTAATGCTTTATTAATAATCCATAGTGAAAACAAAGTCTGCCAGCCACAAATCCTTCTAATTATTCAAGTCAATTAAAAAATGGTTTAAATGTATCCTTGTGATTCTTTGCATGAATCCATAAGCAGTAGGTTTTTGTCTTTTCCATTGAAACTCACAGAAATATGAAACACAGAAACCTGCTGTTCCTAACACCAAATCCTTAACAATATGATCTCATAAATAAACTAACAGATAAAATTATTATTTCAATGTAATATTTCTCAGTCATGTAAGTAATATTTTAAAAGTCTGTGTAACAAACATATTTTCCACTTTTAAAGTACTTGACATTCATTACTGAGTTAAGCAATTTCAAAACATTGAAAACTCCGAAAGCCTAAACAATTTATGAAGAAAATATTTAACTTCAAGTTTCCAGCATATTATTTCCCAGATTAGGCCTTCATCCTGCAAAGTTGTACATGCTTTAACTAAGTTAAATCCAGGTATAAATCTTCGTGGGCTCAGACATCCCAAATCCTTTCACAACAGAAAACATGTCCTTCACCAGTACAAACTAGACAACCAGTTTAACCAGATAACTGAAAAAATAATTTAGAGCATGTAAAACACCAGCGAAGATGCAAGTTACAGGGTGAAAACATGATGGAGAAGAGAATAAATAAAGCATAATCACTGCAAGGTGAAAGTACTGAGCTGACCATGAAGAGGTGGTAGGTGAGCCTGCTCTCATATCTGGCCATATAAGCTGCTGTTTGGAAGAAGACTGGAGACTGGAGCAAAGCTTGAGACAGTGGTCTGAGGCTGACTCAGAGGTTGCCCCAGGGTCTGAGATGAGTGAGACGACAAACTGTTTGAGCAAGATTTTGTAGTAGGCTGCTAAAGGGCTCATGGAAGTCGGGCTTCCCTGTCAAGCTGAAGAAAGCCC